CGACACATCCGACAGAGGTTTAATAAACAGAATATATAATGAACTCAAAAAACAGAGAACCAAGACAAGAAGCAACCCAATTAAAAGATGGGCTAAGGATCTGAAGAGAGAGTTCTCAAAAGAAGAGGTAAAAATGGCTATGAAACATCTTAAAAGATGTTCAACATCACTAATAATTAGGGAAATGCAAATTATAATGACTTTAAGATTTCATTTTACCCCAATCAGACTGGCTAAGATCAAGAGAACAAATGATAACAAATGTTGGAGAGGATGTGGGGAAAGGGGAACACTCAGCCACTGCTGGTTCAGCCCCTATGACAAGAAGTGTGGAGAACTTTTAAAAAACTACAGATGAACCTACAATTTGACCCAGTTATACCACTCCTTGGCATATACCCAAAGAACTCATCCTATTGCACTTGTACATCCATGTTTGTTGCTGCTCTTTTCACAATAGCTAAGATATGGAAGCAACCTAAGTGTCCCTCAATTGATGACTGGATAGTGAAAATGTGGTTCATTTATATGATTGAGTTTTACTCAGCAGTAAAGAAAGATGAAATCATGAAATTTGCAGGTAAATGGATGGAACTAGAAACTGTTATACTAAGTGAAGTAACACACTCAGAAAAAAAAATCGACATATGTTCTCCCTCATATGTGGATCCTAGAACCAAATCCTGTTAAGTATGTATCCAGACATAACTACAGGAACCAGGATAATGGAAAGGAAACAGGGAGGTAAAGTAAAAGAAATAAAAGAGAAGAACAATATGAAACAGGCCTTAATTAGGGAGCTATGGATAAAAATTGGGTTAGTTTAAGGGAGGGGAGAGGGAAGGGTATACAAGGAACCTAGGGGATAAAAGGAGCTCAAGAGAGGTAGGAAAGGACCATAGGAGAAGGGTATCAGTAAGGGAGAAAGGGGGAAAATGGGGGCACCTTAAGTGGGAAAACCATGATGGAGGGGTGAGATAATGCGAGAGATAAACAATGCCTAGCTAATTTTGAAAATCAGAGGGATCCATATTATTCCTACAACCTACTGACAAATTATACATAGCAATCAAGAAATATATGTCTAGGTAAGGTTTATTTGAGAACAACTGGTCTTTGCCCAAGATTTATCTACATGACACACAATAATTAAAAATATCAGACTTGTGGTACTAACCTTCTTGGGTGTTTAACAGACTTACTTTGAGGCCTATAATAATTTGGTCAGAGGGGCATAAAGAACACTTTTTGCTCCTTGCCCTCCTAGGTCAACTAATTCCAAGGGACTATAAGCATCTTTCAAAATGTCCTATAATGGTGGTGGGTCACCTGTCCTCTTGATCAAGTAGGCCAAGGAGACACCACCAGATGGACTTGAACCAGTTTCCAGTCTACAAAGAGGAGGGTCAACTCAGAGGAATCACTTCCTCAATGCTTCCAAGCGAAGCCAACCATGGTCGAGCAGG